CGCCCACCAATATAGCTGAGGTATGTAGTTTTCTTAGATTGATAGGTTACTATCGACGATTCATCAACGAATTTTCTAAGATTGCTATTTCATTGACTCAACTCACTGAAAAGGTCGTACCATTTATCTGGGATTACGAATGTGGTGAAAGCTTTTTGGAATTAAAGCATCGTCTTACCTTTGCTCTGGTGCTGATTTCCCCCAACAACACTAGAAGATTTCAGGTCTACTGCAATGCATTTCATATTGCTTGGAATGTATTTTGATGTAGCATTATACAGTGGTCACTTATGGATCTAGACAATTGAAAACCCATGAGTGTAACTACCCTACTCACGACTTAGAGTTGGCGGCCATTATATTTGCCTTGAGGATATAGTGTCATTACCTGCTTGGTCAGACCTTTGAAATTTACATTGACCACAAAGTTTCAAGTATATCTTTTCGCAGAGGGAGTTGAACATGAGACAAAGACATTGGATGGACCTCCTAAAGGACTACAACTGTAAGATCATCTACTGTCCGGGTAGAGGGAATGCAGTCGTTAATGTGGTGAGTTGAAAGGAGTCTGCAGTGTTGGCCCAAATCATGGCCTCCAGTTAAAAGTTAGTAAACGCTATGTAAGCACTCCACCTCAATCACTATGGCAATGGCACCTATCTCGTTCAGATTCGAGCTTTGCCTGATATTTTCATGAAGATTTAGAATGCTTAGTCCACAGACCAAGAAATCACCAAAAATTTAAGTGAGTTCTCTTCTGACTAGTTTCCTAATTTCAGAGTCTCAAATGATGGGTTGTGTAGATTTTGGGACCAAATTTAGGTCCTTATCACTTTCAGGATGGATGTTCTCAAGGCTGCCTATGCCTTTAAACTGTCTATCTACCCTGGGAGTACTAAGATGTATCGGGACCTGAAGTTTCAATACTGGTGGCCAGGAATGAAAAAGGACATTATGGACTATGTCTCCCGATGCCTTACTTGCCAGCGAGTTAAGGTAGAACACAAGAGACCTAGTGGTTTATTACAAGGCCTACTGATTTTGAAATGGAAGTGGGAGTATGTAACCATGGATTTTTTCATCGGACTACCCAGAACCTGTTCTAGTCATATTGCTGTTTGGGTCATCATTAATAGACTAACCAAGATTGCCCATTTCCTGCCCATCAGGACCACTGACTCCACCAATAAATTAGCCCGTTTTTATGTCGATGAAATTATCTGACTCCATGGTGTTCCCTCATCCATTGTATCCAATCAAGACCCTTAATTCACCTCCCACTTTTGGGATAGCCTTCAGGAACCCCTTAAGTCTGGATTGTACTTTAGCACTGCTTATCATCCCCAAACTGATGCTCAATATGAATGCATTATTCAGACGTTAGAAGACAAGTTGCATGCTTATGTCCTCGACTTTGGCGATAACTAGTATGAGTATCCTCCCCTGTGTGAATTTATTTATAATAACAGTTATCATTCCAACATCAGTTTGGCTTCGTATGAAGCCTTGTACAATAGGCCCTGCCATTCTCCCACTTGCTGGAGCGTAGTCAGAAACCGGCATCATTTGGGATAGACTTCATCCAAGAGACTATTGAGAAGGTTGTGATCATTTGTAGGAACTTGGCTACTACCCAGAGTTGCTAGAAGAGTTACACTAACAATCATAAATGACCTCTGGAATTCGTCGTTGGAGACCAAGTCTTCTTAAGATTTTCTCCTACATGGGAAAAATGCGGTTCAAGAAAATAGGGAAGTTGAGCCCCAGTTATATGGGACCTTGGATCATGGAGCGTATTGGACCCGTAGTGTACCGCCTTACTCTACCTTGAGCATTTGTCAGTCTATATGATGTTTTCAACATCTCCATGCTCAAAAGGTACAACCCTGACCCTTCTCATATCATTTCTCACGATGAGACATAGGTACAAGCCAATATGACTTACGAGGAACTCACTGTGGAAATTCTTGATTGGACCAATAAAGTTTTATGCAACAAGATGATCCCCATAGTGAAGGTGCAGTGGCAGCACCACACTCCAGAAAGGCAACGTGGGAGTTGGAGAGTGAGATGAAAGAGAAGTTCCTAGACCTATTCGAAACAAATTTAGGGGACTAAATTTTTTAAGGTGGGGGGATGTAACACCCTGCTCACCACCACACTAAATTTGTATCTGGAAACCCCTATTTGTTCAAGCCTTAAAGCCACCTGAACTCATTTAAATTTATCAAGTAGCTTTATATCATAATTCGTGATTTAAATTTGTAATTTTAAATTATTTAGATTTTGTTATTTTATCTTTATTTTATTTTTTGTTTTATTTTTATTTGATTTTATATATTATTATTTTTTATTTACAAATAATTTTTAGGAGAAAATGGAAAATGGTTTCTCCCACGGGAAAACGCCAGCATGAGAGGCTCGCTCGTGCGGGCATAGAACATTTTGTGTGCTCTGTGCACATGTCCCATCCGCGCGGGGCACGAGGCCGATCTACGCACCTGTATGTCGTTCGCGTCACTTCGTGCATGGACAGGGCCTAGTGCTGCACACTGTGCACGCATGTAAGCTAGCTCCTGCATGAGGTAGGATAGGTCGACGCTTGTAAGCTACTCTTGCAGCCGCGGCCGGCCTGGTGAGGCGCACTGCTGCCTCAGACAGTGTGCTGCCACCCCTTTGGGCGTCGTGCGCTGCCTTGGGCAGTGTGCCGCCACCTTGGGTGGAGAGTCACTGCCGGTGAAGGATTCTTCCTCTATTTTTTGTGCCACCACCACTTCATGTCAAATCACTTATCTTCCACTCAACCTTCTCTCTCCTCATCGAATTTTGACAATTGGTGCAAATCCAATGGTCCCCATTTTTTATAAAAAATGACACTTCTCTTTTATTTTTTTTCATCACTTCCATTTCATTCCTCTATCTTTCAAGAGCTTAGAGAGAGAGGGATTGATCTAGAAAGAAGGAGAAAAGAATAAGAAGAAAGATGTAAGAAAACTTCTAAGTTTTTATGAGGAATTTAGTATTTTCTTAAACATTTCTAGAAAATTAAATTATAAAGTCTGTGTTTTGCATGTTTTATGTTTAATAAGTGATTTATTCTTGATTTCAAGCAAGTTATGTGATTTTATAGGAACTTGATGATTTGCATGTAATTAAATAACATGAATTTGGTGAAATTTTTTTGAAATATTTATGAAAAAAAATGAGAAAAGAGAAGGGCAATGAGCTTGAATGGTCCAAAAAATGTATGTATCTGTAATTACATACATAATGAATCAAGTGTCTCATTAGATTTTTTATCTCTAAGGGCTATCTGTTTCTCCCTCCCCCATCTGGTCTGGAAAGACGTGAGAGGATCGTTCTCTATGAATGACGGCATACCCTCTGACGAGAGCAGTGATGCAAATATCTATTAGGCGTCACCTTTAGCTAATTACTGTTGTGGCTATAGAATATCTGATAAGACCACTGCGGTTGGTAGTGTTGTGGTCATAGATTGACCATAGTTTGGCAAGCCATGAATGTGCCTGAACAAATTGCCGTTATATGTCTGATTTGGTCATTGCACATGGGCAGTTAGAAATCTGTATCTGCCTTCAGAGATGGAAGTCAGAATGACTTCACAAAGCATGACATGAAAATCTGAGCATTTAATGAATTTTTTTTATTTTCTCTATTGTTAAATATGATTTTGATTTGATTATTATGACTATGACATGATGTTTCCTTTAATAAATAAAATTACTTTCATAAAGCAAGATAGGACCCTGACATAACTTGATGGTAAGTATCAATTACATAATTATTCACTTTTAAAATCTTACAATGTTATTTAAATATTCTTTTTCTTACTAAGTGTATGGAATTCACCATTTCCATGACCCCCAGATGAGGAAGATAGTGAGAAACTGACCGCTGACCTACCCCTTAAACATGACTTATCTTGCACTCTGATGAGTCCAATTGCATAATGAAAGAAGTGGCCTTTCTGTATTTTGATATTTTGTATTTTGCCACTTCTGGCCTTAGTTATATATGTGTAATTGGAACTCATATATTTTGGTAAGGGATTTGTAATAATTTACTCTGCTGTATATAAGTTTTATCATGTACTCGTAATCTATTTCTGTATCTGGCACCCTTATGTCTTAATTAGCATTTGGGATGTCATAAAATTCCTAAGCATAAGATTGTGAAATAAAAAATATTATAAAAAATTATAAATAAGTTTGATTTGAAAAATATTAATATTACATCTATTACATGTTTGTGTGTGTTTGCGTGATGTCCAATTTAAGTCTTGGATTAATGAAAATACTTACTAAGTTGGTGAATTCACCCTAATATTTTTTATAGTAGAAAGAACCAGACCAATTGCCGAATGAGTGAAGGACATGCGAAGATATCCTAATCAGTATACATTTTTTTCTTATTTTTGTTATAGCATCGTTTTATTAAACTCAATGTTTTGATATCATGTTTTATATATATAAATGTTGTATATATCATAAGGGATGTTTTATTTTATACTAAACTTTTGACCTACACATATGCATGTTTATGGGCGCCATTAGCTACGAAATGACATAAGTATATTTGCCCCTCATTATCGGTTAGGGGCATTACAGTAACATTTTACAAACTTTACAGGCCATGCCAGTTGTTAATCTTAAAACACCAACTCTCTGTCTTGTTGGGGCTCCTAGTGTGGGGAAGTCATCCTTGGTTCGTGTACTTTCAACAAGGAAACCTAAGGTTTGTACTGATCTCCTTCCTATCTTGTATCTTTGGTGGCTATGTCTAAAATGGCTCCCACAATTATTTAAGAAATTTTAATGCTATCTGTCTTGTATTTAATGTTATAGTTTAACAAACAAATAAATCAGAGGTTCAATTTTCTAATTTAAGGTGTTCTGGTATTCAAATAGATAATTGGAAATTCAACTTAAAATTTTTCAATTATTCATGAAACCTTTTCTGCCATTAGTCACACACACATATATATACACATACATATATACTATGTTCTTGTTAATTTAATACTAGTTCCAAAAAATGACGCTTTGCTTTCTAGGACTTAAATTGAAATGGTGAATGTTTTTGACTTGAGCATGTGAAATTTTGGATATTGATTATGGTGGAAGACAATTATTTCCTTTATGTCAATATGTTTTGTTGTCTATTTTCCCTTTAAGGTCTACAACTGTCCCTTTACAACTAGAGGAATTCTGATGGGTCACATAACCTTGAACTACCAGTACTTTCAAGTTAGTTTATTTAAGGCATTTATTGTTTCTTTTTTCATTACTTTTTACTCCTACGATTTTCGTACAGGTGATAGATATTCCTGACCTCCTAAAGAGATGTGATAGTAAAGGAAAACTACACATTTGTGGGTTTTATCCCTTTAATTACTGAATCAACGTATAGAATAAAGTTTAAATATTTCAATCAAGTAGTAGAAGTTCCTCTTCCTCTCCTCTCTCCCTACCTATGCCTATATATAGTTTATGCATGTTTGTATACAGACATTAGGATATATGGGATAATAACTTAAAAGTACAATTTGTGCAACAATCCTTTCTATCTGATAGAAAAGGATCCCATGATCCAAAGGTGCTGCTTTAGGTACAAGATTTCATGCATGCTCTTTATAATGGCTTTTCCATCATTATGGTAATGTTTATATTTTACCCTTTGTCTCCACTAACAGAGGATAGGAATAATTTGGAGAAGTTAACTCTTGCTATACTCACACATCTACTAATAGTAGTGCTATACATGCATGATCTATTTGGAGAATATGTGACCTCACCTTAGATCAAGTACCCCCATGATATAATATAAATCAACAACATCATGGTCCATGTGTATACAGTATCATATTTCAATAAAAAAAATGTGCATACAGTATCGGGTTATAGACAGATGCATATACAAAAATGCATTTATTATGATAGTTAGCCCTTCTCAATAGTTATAAGGATATTTGCCTCTCACTCTCTGTCATGTATTTTTCGTAGAATTCCCCATATGAGGATTTATTTTTTGCTGTTATATATATTTTGTTAAAAAAAATTAATTTTATGTCTGAATTTGTGCCACCATGTTATAATTCAAGCTTGACAAGAGCAGGGATGCAAATTAACCTTTGATATTACAATTAATTTGGTTTCATTTGGTTAAGAAAAAGCTTATAGACCTTACTCCCCACGCAAACTTTTGGATGATTTGGAGAGAAAGGAATAGGAGACTATTTGAGGGTCTACTGTTGCTAGCATAAGAAAGAATTGGTTTTACACCTTAAGTATATTTTATTCGTATATCATTCCATCCTTGATAAAGTCTTAAGGGAAGTAGTTTGGTAAGCCATTCGGGTTTATTTGATAAAGTCTTTGGTTCTCTTTAACATTATCTTTTTTTTCCTTTAAAAGAAGTTTGAGAAGCCATTTGGGTTTATTTGGTTAAGTTTATTTCTATAATATACTGAATTTAAAGGTAGACCCTATCATGACAAAGAAATATTATTTTATTACTTTGATCACTTTTACCAATCAAATCTCTAATATGTGGCATTGGATCTTATAGTTTAAGATATCTAGAGAATTTAGGGAGGGTTTTCCTAATCATCTGTGGCTTGATATCATCTCAAATTGTGATCTACTTACTACAAGCACCTTACACTTTGTTTGACATAGAAGATGGAGATATTGACCATGTTGAAATGGCACGGTGTCAAAATATAGGACTTGATCGAGCAAGCCATGTATTAGTTAAGACTGCAAAAGGTCTTGATGAGGTGTGTACTAGTTAAAAGCTTAAGTCTTTGCCCCATCAACTTTGACCTTGCAATTAATGTTCCTTGGTTTAACACAAGTGTTTTTGCGAGATATTGGGCTGACTCACCATTTAACAGAAACACAGAAGACAAAACTTGCAAGTTCAAGCCACCATGCCATATTGCCTTGATCTTTGACCCTCTTAAGTTAAATACAATTAAAAAAGCTCTTTTCTACTTTTTTATTTTTAATTAAAAAAATAATCTCTTAATTATTGATATGTGAACTGTGTATTAAAAATTCAATAACTGCATAATCATATTAGATGACTATTGAATTATTTGACTTTTTGACTATGCGCATCAAAATTTATATAGTAAAGTTAATGAAATGTTAATATGAATGCTATTCTTTTAATAAACTAAAAAAATATTCTTATAATTATGTTTGAATTAAGAAGAGTGTTTTTGTAAATTATCCTTAATACATTAATATTATCCAGGTGCACGTATCAAGATACCTGCATCATAAATACATTGATATTCTTGATTTCTCCTTAGCTAAACACCTTGACAACCAAGTCAATATGGCTAATCATCGACAGATTCACTTTCAGAAATTTCTCTTCATTTTGTGTCATCTCTTGTTGCATGGGTATGGTTAGACTAACTTCTAACTTCTTCCATGCCGAGCA